CTCTTTAAGATATTTCCATATTGCTTTCCACAGAGGTTGCACTAATTTGCAGTCCCACCAGCACTGTATGTGTGTTCCTATCTCTCCGCATCCATGCCAACATTTATTGTTTTGGGACTTTTTGATAAAGGCCATTCTCACTGGAGATAAGTGATATCTCATTGTAGTTTTGATTTGCATTTCCCTGATGATTAGAGATGTTGAGCATTTTTTCATATGTTTCTTGGCCATTGTTCTGTCTTCTTTTGAAAAGTTTCAGTTCATGTCCTTTGCCCACTTTTTGATAGGGTTGTTTTATTTTTTCTTGCTGATTTTTCTGAGTTCTACATAGATTCTAGTCATCAGCCCTTTATCGGATGTGTAGCATGCGAATATTTTCTCCCATTCTGTAGGTTGTCTGTTTGCTCTCATGACAGTTTCTTTGGCTGTACAGAAGCTTTTTAATTTGATCAGGTCCCATTTATTTATTTTTGTTGTTGCTGTGATTGCCTTTGGGGTCTTCTTTGTAAGAACGAATTGGTTTTGCTGAGGATAATGCACTCTTTGCTTTGCCTTCCTTAAATAGCAAAACCTAGATTTCAAATCCATATTATGACTATATTAGAACTGCTGATTCAAGAAGTTGATTAAAAACGTTGGAGCGGTAAGAGAACATGATTAGACTTGATTGAAGACTGAAAGACATATGGTAAAAGAATGTAGAAAAATCTGCATGTGCCTCTGATGTGGGATAGAGAAATCATTCTATAGCTAGATCCACATGTGTGATTAAAATTAGCTTTTTGAAATGGGAAAAATTGGAGCATATTTTTGTTTTGGACAATGATCCACTTGATAAGAAGAGATTTGTAATGGAAGAAGTAGTGTAGGAAACAGCCAGTGCCATATGCAGTTTCCTGCAAAAGGAAGCCAGTGAGGCTGATGTATTTTTGAAAGGGAGAGGGTAAAATAAGACGATAGATACAGATACAGACTATCTCTAGATATTGCAGGGTTGCCACTAGAGAATTTTAAGCAGAGGATAGATATTATCTGATCTATGTTTAAAAGATAACTTTGCTGCAGGAGAAAGAAATACCTATAAGCAATAAATGTGGAGGAAAAGAAAAGAGAGACTTTTGCTGAAGTCTGAGAGTTATAATAAATTGGATTCTAGAAGTTGTAGTGGAGATAGAAAGCAACATATCCAAGATATGTTTGGAATTAGTGTTACAAAGATTCATGATGGATTGGAAAAAGATGGCAGGAAACAGAAAAAGTGAATGAGTAGCCTAGGATTTTCACTTTGACCAACTATAAAAAGAATGTAATCATTCATGGAGATGGGGAAATCTAGATAATGAGCACGTGCAGGAATCAAGAGTCATGAGGCAAGAGGGCTCCTATATTTGCTTTCCTGTTGACCAAGAAGGTGGTCAATCATCAGAGATATTTTTTAGTTCTGAGAACCTGATTCTGGTGTCTTTGAGGCAAGAGAGAGAGAGAGAGAGAAAGAGACAGTGTGTGTGTGTGTGTGTGTGTGTGTGTGTGTTTATATGTGACTGTTCAATCACTTGTAGTTGAAAATAACATTATTGCTGAGGAGATGTTGTCTCTGAGAATATGTAGAGGTTTCCCTCAGGCAGCACAGCTGTTCCTTTGATTCTGGGTCATCTGAATCTGGGGCTACTGTAAACACACCAAAGCATTTGCATTTTCAGTTATTTTTTTCAATCTTGATAAATCACACGTATAGATGACAAACTTTTTTCAGTCATTGAAAATTTCATAGAGAGTTTTGAAGACATACTGAGTTCATAAAAATCAGTATTTGATATCTCTGTTTTAAATACTTTCTCCTAAGTTTTTCATGCAGAAATCAACAAAAATTTTGAGATGTCATCTAAATAACAGCATGTACAACATTCTAAAAAGATGCAGATGTACTAAATGTTTTACATCTACAGGAATACAGATGTTTTGAAAACTTATATAGTTTTTCAGTGATTATCAATCCTGAGTAAATTATTAGATAATTTTAAATAGTATGCTTATATTATGATTCATCTCATATATATATGTATGTGTGTGTGTGTGTGTATATATATATATATATATATTAAACATGTTTAATTTTAGAAGAAAATAATTTTGATCCTGACCTATAGTGTTTTCATGTAGAATTTACAATCATTGTATTTTTCATAGGGAGTATTCCTGGACCACTAGCTTTTCAATTTTCGGTAGAAAATTCTTGTACTTTTCGGGATATCAATAAATGTGGACACACGGGACGTTGCTGGATCTATAACAAAACAAGAATGGCCTACCTATTGGTGGGAATATGTAAGTGATACCTATTGAAGAAATGTACAGAAATAAAATTATTTTCTAAACTTATAGTTGTTTATAGTAAGGTAGAATTATAAAAAACCATGAAAAAATACTTTGAGGATTAAAGGAGATTTGTATGATTATATAGAAAATATTTAGAAACTAAAGTACTATAGAATTTATGTAAGTATTTGAATCAGTGCATTAAATACACAATAGTTCTATGTTATTCCCAAATCAAGAGTGATAATTAGCAGAATTTTAGTTTGGGAAGTAATTTTGCCTGTATACTTATATAACCAGATTTCTTGACTTTGTAACCGTTTCCATCTCCACAGTAAAAGATTGGATAAATTTGAACAAAATTTTTGCAATACTAAAGAGCATCAAGATACCCTTATCTCACTTAACTATAAACTTCATATTTTCTGTTTTGTTCAATGATGTAACAGTGCTTAGAACATAGTAATCATTCAGTATTTGTTGAATAAATAAGATATGTAGGGAATTGAGATGATGTGGTAGTATAAGCTATGGTCAGGGTCGAGAACATCTGAATATTTTGTGTTACTCTAGAAAATTCACTGGATCTTCTTGCATCTTAATTTATTCATCTGTTAAATGAGGATATTGTACAGTATAATTTCCGAAGTCTTCATCAACACATTCAATGACTATATTGTATAAGTATTTTGTGTGATAAATATTTTAAACTGTTTATATGTTTTGTGATTTTACTGAATAAGTTCAGTAAGTCAAAGAACCACAAAATGATAGACTCTAATATTTAACAGTAACAAATATCTGTTTGATAAAAGCATAGAGCAATGCTTTCTAATTCAGAAGTCAATTATTCAACAAGCTTAGCTGAGTAAAAAATAATCAAAAAGTCCAAATGACATTTAAGAAGTCAAAATTAATTTTTCAGAGATAATTCAACAAGACTAGGAATGGATCTTAAGGAAGGCTTAAACCATTGCTGAGACTTGTTATTTTAGATGAAATAGTAACATGGTGAGCTATTTTCAAGCATAGTACATAATAGAGAAAGTTGGTGAACTGCTAGAGAGCCCATAAGGACCTACTAAAAGAAATATAAATAATGAAGAACATAAATATTTATAGTCAAATAGAAGTGGTATTGATAGGAAATTGCAATAGAAATATGTGTTTGTGGGAATAGTGTTAGTATATTTTAAAATGTATTTGATAGGTTATATGAATCAGGATCAATTGGAGTTCTTGTTAATATTAATGATATAAATTCTGGGGCCCTAAATTAGAATTCCAGGGATTGGAGGTCAGCCAGATGGAGGAATAGGACTTTCTAGCACTCATTCCCTCACAGAAACATCAATTTGACCAACTATCCACACACAAAAATACCTTCGCAAAAGCTAGGGAAATTAGGTGAGAGAATAGAGCAGTGGTCCCCAACCTTTCTGGCACTGGTGACTGGTTTTGTGGAAGACAATTTTTCCACAGACAATTTTCCTCCTGGGGGAGTGGAGCTCAGGTGGTGATGTGAGCAATGGGGAGCGGCTGTAAATCCAGATTAAGCTTCACTGGCCCTCCTGCTCACCTTCTGCTGTGCAGCCCCCTCACTTCTAAGTTTCATGGAAGACAATTTTTTCCACAGGTGGAGGAGTGTGGGCGTCAGAGCTCTGCAGCCTGGCCCTTAACAGGCCATGGACAGGTTGGGTCCACCGTCTAGGGGTTGGGGACCGCAGGAATAGAGCACCTGTGTGTAGCACAAAAATAAGAAAAGACTCACTGAAGAGAATAGCAAGTACAGTTTCACATTATTCACATCGACCCCTCCCCCAAGCCTGGCAGCAAAATGTAGAGAGATACCCTAGGCAAGATACCCTCCATGTGGAGGAATGAAAACTAAGTGAGCACTTGACTTTGCCATGGGCCCCAAACCAGGCCTGCCTCAGTGAAACACAGCTCTAGGCTGCCCCTCACAGTCGCAGGCTCCAGGCTGGCACCAGTGGACTGAACCTCCAGGCCTTCCCCAACTACACACTGACTCCCACAACCCTAGACATCAGACTGGCACCCACAGACCCTATTTATAGACCCACCCCACACAAGACTGGTACCCACAAACTTCAGCTCCAGGCCGGCGCCTGTGGCCCTAGAGATCAAGCTGGCTTCTCAAGCTCAAGGCTCCAGGCTGGCAATTACAGACCTCGTATCCAGGTGAGCCTTTGCAGATGCAAGCCCCAAGCCCACTCCTGTGGTCTCAAGCTCCAGGATGGTTTTCTGGTAGACCCAGGATCTAAGCCTGCCCCAGTAGACCCTGTTGCTTGCTGAGCTTCTGCAGACCCAGGCTCCAGAATTACCCCTGCAGATGCAGGACCAGGCCCACCCGCATAGACTCAGGCTCAAAACCTGCCGTGGTACCATATCAGCCCCCAAGAACCTAGGCTTCAGGCTGGTCCCTTAGACTCAGGGTCCAGGCCTACTTTCATAGGCCCAGTTAGCAGGCCCATGCCAGTGGACCCAGACTTCAGGTCCAATCCTGTAGACCCAGGTTCCAGGCCAGCTTCTATGGACCAAGGTGCTGGGTCAACCGATATGCTGACCCAGGCACCAGACCAGCCTGCCCAGAGACTCCAGCAGTAAGCCTGCCCATGGATCCCGCCAAACAGCCTTCCCAGAATCTCTGGACCAATTGATTAGTGAAAGGCTTTCCCTGCTGAATCCAGTATACAAAGACTAAAATGAATGCCTTCTTCTTCAAAAGTGCAAACTTCAATGCATGGCCACAAAGATCACAAATAATCAGGAAAATACGACACCATCAGAGGAACAAAATAAAGCACTGTTAATGAATCCTAAAGAAATGGAGACTCATGAGCTACCTGATAAAGAATTCAAATTAATCATCTTAAAGGAGTTCAGTGAGCTACATGAGTACAGAGAAAGACAACTAAAAAAAATCAAAAAAATTCACAAGAAAATTTGACAGAAATAAAAACCATAAAAAAGAACCAAACAAGATTCTATAGCCGAATAACACAATAACTAAACTGAAAAATTTCATAGAGAACTTCAACAGCAAATTCAATCAAGCAGAAGAAAGAATCAATGAGCCTTTAGACAGGTCATTTGAAATTACCCTATCAGAGAAATAAATAAATAAATAAATAAAAAGAATGAAAAACAGAGAAGAAAGCCTATAGAAATTATGAGACACCATCAAGGAAACCAATTTATGCATTATGGGAGTCCAAAAAGGAACAGAGAAAGAGAAAGGGGAAAAAGGTTATTTAAAGAAATAATAACAGAAACTCCCCAAATTTGGAGAGAGAAATGAACATCCAGATCTATGAAGCCCAAAACCCATCAAATAGATAAAATATGAAGAAATCTTCACCGAGACACACTACAATCAAATTCTCAAAAGTCGAAGACAAGGAGAATTTGTAAAGCAGCAAGAGAAGAGCAATTCATCACATACAATGGAACCTCTATCTATTAGCAGATTTCTCAGCAGAAATCTTGAAGGCTGAGAGAGTGAAATGATACATTTAATATGCTGAAAGAAAAAACTGCCAACCAAGAATACTATACCTGGCAAGGCTGACTTTCAAAAATAAAAGAGAGATAAGACAAACAAAAGCTAAGGGAATTGACCACTAGAGCTGCCTTAGAAGAAATACTCAAGGGAGTTCTTAAAGTTAAAATGGAAAAATGCTATCTAACAACATGAAAATATAAAAAAGTATAAAACTCACTGATGAAAGTAACTACATAGTCAAATTTAGAATACTGCAATACTGTAATGATGAGTCATAAATCACTTTTAACTCTACTGTAAAACTTAAACAAAAAAAGTATTAAAATAACTATAGTTACAGTAATTTTAAGGGATACAAGATATATAAAAGATGAAAATTATGACCAATAGTATAAACTAGGGTAGGCAGAGAAGAGAAAATGTAGAGTTTTTGTATGTGGTAGAAGTTAAGTTTTTATCAGCTTAAAACATATTGTTGTAACCATAAGATGTTTTATATAACCCTTATGGTAACCACAAAGAAAAAAACCACATAGTATATATACTAAAAAATAAAGACAAAGGAGTCAAGGAATGCTATTACAAAAAAATCTTCAAAGTACAAAGGAAGACAACATGAAAGGAAGAATGGAACAATGTGGAAGACAGGGAAAAAGGGAAAAAGGTGAAAAAGAACTACTGTCCAAAACATATAAAGAACTCTCACAAATCAATCAGCAAAGAGATAGATAACCTAACGGAAATGTGGTTAAAAGACTTGAAAAAATTCTTCACATAAGTAGTTAACCAAATAGCCAGTAAACAATAGAATGGATAATAAATTGTGGTAAATTCAACAGAATACTAGACATGATGTTTTTTCCAGTCAATTTCCCTACTGCCCAGATAAACTCCTTTCAGATTTCTCTTAAAACATTTTAGTTTTGTCTGCTCTAGAAACTTACATAAATGGAATGAAGTTTGCACTCTTTTTTTGGTTTAATAATGTTATGCTGTTGGGAGGTGTATCCATGTTTGTTCTAGAGCAGTAGTTTGTGCTTTTTAAAAATTACTGAGTGCTACTTCATTTTGTGAATATACTACAGTTCATGTATCTATTCTCTTACTAATGGACATTTGGATTGTTTACAGTATTTGGTTATTATAAATAAGGCTGCTATGCACATTCTTATGCATATGTTTTCATAGACATGTTTTTGTGGGGTTTTTTTGGGTAAATATCTAGAAGTGGAATTGTGGGTCATAGAGGTTGAAATTCATTGAGAACTATGAGATGCTCTATCTTCATGAACTGTCCATATGCACATAATAATGCATCTTTTGCAGTTATTTGGCATCATCTTTTGTTATTATCAATTAGATCAATTTGTATTATTCAGATCATATTCAGATTATATAATTACTAATATTTTTGTATTTATGTTCTGTAACTGACTTAAGAAGTATTAAAATTTGCAGGTGTTTGTGGATACATTCATTTCTATTTTTAATTTTTTCATTTTTTTCTTTAGATATTTTGAAGTCCTATTGTTTAGTGCACACACATTTAGGATTTTCATGTCTTTTTGATGAACAGTCATTTTTATCATTTAATGTCCTTTCCTCCCTCCATTAATGCTCTTTTTCTTAAAGTCTACCTTTTCTTTATTAATATAGTGTGTGTACATAGGTATATTCTTTTACATTCTTCCAAAGATGTGCCTCTTTCTGTAAATCTGGTATTATATCCAGTATAGGTACTTGAAGAACTTTTTTAGCATTTCTTTCATGTAGGAGATGAATTCTTTTACCTTTTGTCTATTAAGAAAGTATTTTGCCTACATTCATTTTTTGAAAGATATTTTTGCTTGATATAGAATTCTAAAATGTCTTTTTTAAAAAACTTTCAGAATTTTAAAGATATTACATCATTTTCTGATCTCCATTGTTTCTGGTGAGAAGACAGCTTTCATTTGTAATGCTGCTTTCCTATATGTAATGTCTTTCTTATTCTGGCTTTTCTTTCAAGGTTTTCTTTTTATTTTTGACTATATTTACTATGTTTTACTAGATTGACTATGGTGTGCCTAAATATGATCTTCCAAGTATCTGTCCTTTTGTCTCCTCTTAGGGTTATACTAAACTTCTTGGATCTGTGGGCTGACGTCTTTAACATTTTCAGAAAATACTTGGACATCACCATTTAAATTATTTATTTTATCTCATTTTTCCTCCTCTTTCCTTCTAGTACTCCACTTACATATATGTGCAACTACATCATATTATTTATATGTCTTGGATGCTCTGTTCTCTTTCTTTCTCTTTCTTAAACTGTCTTTGAGGTCATTTATTATTTTCTCTCATCTATCCAGTCTGTTTTTAAATGGACATAATGAATTCTTCATTTCTGATATTATATTTTTTTATTTCTATCATCTCTTCCATGTTAACTTTTGTAGTTTCCATTTCTATACTGAAAATTTCTCATTCTTCATGCATGTTGTCCGCTTTCTCCACTAGATGCTTTGATGTTTCACCATAACTATTTTAAAGATCACAGTCACTGATTCTAACAGCTAGGGCCTTTCTGAGTATGCTTTTATTGATTGCTTCCACTTTTGATTAGAAGTATTATTTTCTTGCTTTTTCGTATGTCTTGCCATATTTGATTGCATTCCAGGCCTTTTGTATAGGAAACATTATAGACTGAAGCAAATATTTACCTTCAGAAAGGGACATTTTCCTTCTTCTGTTAGTCTACTTAAGTGGAGGGTAAGTTAATTCAATCTCTGATTGAACTGGTTCTCAGCTAGTTTACAGCTTTTGTTTGATTTGGTTTACTACTGACTTGAAGTTTTCAAGGGGTGGATGGTGGGTGATCAGCACTTTCTCTTCAGCAGAGCTTTATATTTAAACAATGGCAAATTTTTTTCATCTACCTGTGGTTCACAACTTAGCCATGTCTTTGAGCATTCTGCTGTCTTTCTGATTTTGATATTCAGCAAATGTCTTGCTATTTGTTTGAAGCCTCACTTCAATTTTGTCATTCAAGTCCTGTTAGACCAAAGAAAGCTTTGTTTTTCAACAGCATCTTCTGCCAAAGTAAATGTTTGATTTTCAGCCTCTT